ACTCATATGTAAGCTGTAATGTAGATGAAATACTTCATCTTATAAAAGAGTTTTGATAAGTTAGTATCATTCATGTCTCACTGAAAAAAAACAAAACCCACAATCTTTTTTTTCCCCCTTGCAGTATAATATACATAAAATGTCCATAGAAATTAGAAGTAACGTCTTATTTTTCTCTTGATCATTTTCCCATAATGGGAAGCAAGAAAGGAGCAACAAGCAATTTAATGTGCACAGGACTCTGCCTATGGGAAATATTTCATCAGAGCATCTGCTTAAAAGTGTTCCGCTTCCTTGTCAATTTCACATAGATGGGTTCCCCACTTTGGAGGGATGGAAAAGGCAATTAAAATAGTCCTTTGGTTTGAGACTGATTCAGACTGATGGGAGTGACAATCCCAATAGGAACTGCCCTGGTCAGTGTATTACTGTGTGATATTGTGTGATCCAGGACAATATTTGGGCTCCATCTTAAAATATTTCCAAAAATTCTTATGTCACCATTTATTAAGGATCTCATCATCAACATAAAATCTTTCAGTGCTCAGCACTTGTACACACACATTTCTAAATATTATAGTAGGATGTAGTGATCATTAAATTTTTTTTTTGGATTTACAGTATTATTTGTAGTGCTAACACATGTTTAATGGGGAATTGAGCTTCCATGACAGCAAAGTAGATGAAATTCTCTGTGTGTTGAAATGTGCTTATGTTATTTTTAATCCAGTGACCTAGGCCGTAATAAACCATCCTATGAATTGTATAGCTGTCTTAAAATGTATCCCTAAGAGTTGCTAAAAAGAAATTACATAATGGAATAAAATATAAACACAAGAGTGGAGACAAACTCCTAAAAGATTACTGTTCTGTCCAACCTATGCTAAAAAACAGATTTTTCTCTGTTTCTCTAAGAATGATTCTTAGGTACTTATTCTTGTGTAGGCTGATGTAACAGAGTACAATACCTCCAGATTATTTATTAAAAACTGCAGAGCGCCTTGTATAACTGTGCAATCCAGAAAAGTAGCCACTAGACACATCTGACTATTTAAATTTAAGTTAATTCAAAGTAAATGTATGTTAAAATCCAGTGCATGTGTGTAGGGCCCATGCATCTATTGGCTACCATATTGGACAGTACAGATATAGAACATTTCCAACATAGACAATAACTATCTTAAAATGTATATGCAATTTTATTGTTTCATTGTGCTTAGTTGCTCAGTCCTGTCTAACTCTTTGTGACCCCATGGACTGTAGCCTGCCAGGCTCCTCTGTCCATGGGGATTCTCCAGGCAGGAATATTGGAGTGGGTTGCCATGCCCTCCTCCAGGAGATCTTCCCAACCCAGGGATCGAATCCAGATTTCCTACATTACAGGAGATTCTTTACCATCTGAAACATGAGGGAAGCCCCAAATTTAAGTTAATTCAAATTAAATGTATGTTAAAATCCAGCACATGTATCTAGGGCCCATGCGTATATTGGCTACCATATTGGACAGTATAGCTATAGAAAATTTCCAGCATAGACAATAACCAACTTAAAATGCATATGCAATTTTATTGTTTATGATATTTTGCTTATTAAAAAGCTACTGGCAAAATTTCACTGAGAGATCCTACAAAATTTTAAAAGGTTTTTGAATTGCTGCTGTAGCCTGTCAACATACCTGGAACTAGTGTGGCTGTTCTTAAAATTTATACAGATTTGAGAGCCATTTAAGAAACCTTATGAATAAGATTCAGCAGAGTTAGCACTTTCCCACCTGGAAGTTTCAACATAGTAAAAGCAGAAATAAAGTATTTTAACAATTTATTCAAGGTTTCCCTAGGATCCATGTTATTCTAATACTTAAATACTAGAATGCTACATGATGTTGTTTCAATTTATATTAGTATACTTTAGTATTTATTTTATTGAAAGCTATGCTTACCGAGGAAGGCTTCCCTGGTAGCTCAGACAATAAAGAATCCTCCTCTCCATGCAGGAGATGCAGGTTCAATCCCTTGGTCAGGAAGATCCCCTGGAGAAGGAAATGGCAACCCACTAAAGCTTTCTTGCCTGGGAATGCCATGGACAGAGGATGCTGGCAGGCTACAATCCATGGGGTCACAACAAGTCAGACTCGACTTAGCGGCTAAACCACAATGATGCTACTGAGGAAGTGGGTATTTTTGTCACATAGGGTTATTAATTTTATAAATCCAAATCCAAGACATAACAAAAAGTATTTGTTCTCTTGTAAGCAGGGGACTCTCAGGGACCCTAGGGGCTCTTTCTTGTGAGCAGGGACCCTCGGGGTTCTTTCTCCTCCTCATGCCCCTGTGAGAAAGGTTCCCAGAAATTCCTCTCAGAGGCTTTTCTGTCCCTCACCAGCTGGGTTCTGCATAGCGGAATGTTGCTTGGGCCCCAGGAGAGCTTCCAAAGAAAAGTAAAGAAAGATGGTCACTCTCTGTAGCTTAGCAGTAATTCTCAGCCCGACAGCATCTTCCAGGAGATTGTTAGAAATGCAGACTCTTGAGGCCCACTTCAGAGCCCTCAATCAGAATCTCTTCTAGATTAGAGGCTTTCACACTTTAAATAAGCATCGTGATCACCTTGAAAAGGCAGATCCCGGGGCCCCTCCCCCAGAGTTTCCCACTCCAAAAGATGGGGTGATGCAGGTGCTGCTTCTGATGCCGGCTGATGGATTGGGGACCACACTTGGAAAACCACTGCTCTGGGGCTGGCTCGTTCTCATATTCAATTCTACACTGGAATCACCTGGTGAGCTTCCCCAAAGCCTGATGGTTGAGTCCTACCTCCAGAGTCTCTGGATTAAATGGCTAGTGGATACAGCCTGAGTACTGAGTTGTTTTCCTTTTTGTCTTCAAAAACTTTCCCAACAATTAAAATATGCAGCTAGGTCTGAGAAACACAAGCTATGTAATTCATGCTCAGAACTTCTCCTGAGAGGGAAGCACAGCTGGATGTGAGCATCCACCACCCCCACCAATGACTCTGGATGATTCTAGACTGTTTCTCTGGGGTCCAGGTGAGCACAACAGCCGTGCAGAGCTTCTCCACCATGGAATCCCTCTGGTCAAAGCCTCGGGACCGGCTTTGTTATCCATTCCTTCATTCACCCCAGAAACATTTATGGTATCTCTGCTATGAATCCTTCTTGTTCTAGTTACTTCTTTGTTCATCACTGAACAAAATCATGGAGCTTACATTTTACTTTCATTCTTACCGTTAAAGTCAACATTGTCATGCTGAAGAAAAACCAGAACTGGAAAGTAGTTACAGCAATAAATATACCTTCTCTTTGGAAAAATATGTAAAGTATTGCAACAGGGGGAAGAGACTTCATTATAGAAGTGGGCTCAATGTCGAAAACAAGGAAAAGGAGGAATATTGACCTCTGGGTTGGGAAGATTCCCTGGAGGAGGGAATGGCAACCCACTCCAGGATCCTTGCCTGGGAAATCCCATGGACAGAGGAAGCTGGTGGACTACAGTCCATGGGGTCACAAAGAGTCAGACACAACACAGTGACTAAACAACACAGCCAGGGAGCAGGTTGATGGTCAGTAGATGGGTAATTACTAGGAGGAAAAGTCAGGGGGAAGGGTATTCTGGCTAAACTGACTTAGAAGGATTCTTGCTAGAACTGGACAATGCAGAGCCACGATGTGAAGAGAGTTCAGAGGTGCCTGACCACAGACAGCTTGGTCAAGAAGAAAAACTTCGTCAGTGGATGGTCTGTTACTTGCCAGTTGCCATTCCAAAGCGGGTGGAGAGGCAAAACTGAAACTTTTAATAAGGGAAAACATCTGTCCAGTCTCTCTCCCCCTCCTCCCTCCATCTCACGCGGGTCCTCCTCCCCACCTGTTTCCCACCCCTAATTTCAAATACTGCCTTCCTCACTTTCTTTCTGTGGACAGTCCTACCTCCTTTTCACACAGGCCTGCTCTCAAAAACTTTTCTGCTCCTCCGGGAAAGCCTGGAAGATCCCAGAGGTCCGGCCCAGAAGTGGTTGACAATGTAGTGTTTTCATTCGAATGCAAATTTGTCTCTGGACCGGATTCAAGAAAAGTGCTTTCCCCTCCAACTGTCTCTCCAGCTCCACCCCGGCCCTTGTTGTCTTTTGTGTTCTTGTAAATAAATGAGAGGCAACTGGCTTTCAGTGTGAAGACACAGCTGCAGGGGGCTCTTAAAAGCGAGCTGGAGAGAGAGAGATGCTAAAAGATTTGGAGCCTGGCGTTAAAATCTAGAAAAGGGAGGCTTTTTTTTTTTTTTTTAAGTCTGGCCATTTACAATCGCTCTGCTTCCTCTGGACATGCTTTTTGTAAAGCCTGAAAGCCCAAGCATATTTATTCCGACTTCATTATCTCCCCCTCCTTTTAACTTATCCACAAAGAAGAGTCAACGGGAAAATGACAACAGAATAAACTCCACGAAGTTATGTTTAGTTCTTATGGTTCTCCAGATAAGTATGCGACTTGGTCAATCCCAGAGTAGACACTGTATCCAGTGAAATGCCCTTGCGGGTCGGGGGGCGGTGAGGGGGTGGGGCTGGAGAGAAGGCTGAACGCCCGAATTTCTCAAAGGAACAGACCCCGATTGCCTTCAGGTAACCTGCTGAGTGACCTTTTCAAAGCTTCCGGGGACTAAAATGCGATGCCTCTGCCCTTCCAGAAACCTCTGAGATGTATAAGCAGCATCCGCGTCCCACTTGTCGGAGGGGGTCCCCCATCCCCTGGTCAGCCGCCCTTTGCTTTCCGTTTTTTTCTTCTTTTTCCTCTTTTTTTTGGGGGGGGAAGATAAGCCCCCCTCCAGAGCGGCTCGAGGGGCGCCCGCGTCTCCCCCCGCCTTCCCGCACCCCCCACGCTGCGCGGTTCGGCTTCCCGGGTCCCGCGCGCCCCGAGCCGCCCCCGGGGATCGCCGGGGCCGGGCGGCTCGGGGCGCGCGGGGAAGCTCCCTCCGCTTCCCGCTGGCTAAGAGCGCNCGCAGCCCGCCGCCGCCGCCGCCGCGCTCTACTACTCGAGCTCCACGCTGCCCGCGCCCCCGCGCGGGGGCTCCCCGCTGACCGCGCCCCAGGGCGGCTCGCCCACCAAGCTGCAGCGCGGAGGCTCGGCCCCCGAGGGCGCCGCCTACGCCGCGCCGGCGCGCGGCTCCTCGCCCAAGCAGTCGCCCAGCCGCCTGGCCAAGTCCTACAGCACCAGCTCGCCCATCAACATCGTCGTGTCCTCGGCCGGCCTGTCCCCGATCCGCGTGACCTCGCCCCCCACCGTGCAGTCCGCCATCTCCTCCTCGCCCATCCACCAGCTGAGCTCCACCATCGGCACGTACGCCACCCTGTCGCCCACCAAGCGCCTGGTCCACGCGTCCGAGCCGTACGGCAAGCACTCGCAGGAGCTGTATGCCACGGCCACCCTCCAGAGGCCGGGCAGCCTGGCAGGTAACGGGCTCGCCGCTCAGCACCCCGCACCCCCCGGGGGGCCGTCTGGGCGCGCGCTGGGGGACCGTGCGGGAGGCAGGCAGACAGACGGCGGGGACTGGAGCAGACTCGGGCTGGTCTTGTCGGTGGGCAGGTGTTTAGCATCCTCTGAAGGTAGGAAAGCGGAGGGCGTCCCTAGACAGGCTGTGTTAACTAGCATCTGAACTCAAATCTACCGGTTGCTTCTGTTTGGAAGTCGTGCATTCTCGCAAACTCGAGTGTTTTCTTTCTGTCTCTCCGTCTCTGTCTCTCTGTCTTCCCCTTCTCGCTCTCTCTGTCCCTGTCACCCCGCCCTCAATAGGCAGATGTCCATCCTTTAAGTCAAATTTAATAAGCAGTCACAAAGACCTGTTGAATGTATCCAGAAAAAAGAGCACAGAGAATAAAAACGACTGGGTTTCTAGGATCACCTGTAGTTCTCTGCATTAAGTTGCAGAGAAAAAGTAAGGGATTTTCTTACCTATAGAGCAGACATCCAACTTCCAAAGATTTCAGTAGTCGTGAAAAAAGTTACCTGTGATGAATTGCCTGGAATTTTTACTACTTTGTGGTGGCTTAAAATGATTATGTTTTGTCTAAGTGTGGTTACTGGGAAAATGAAAAGAGCTTCCAGACCTGCTGTTGAGATTGTGTAGATCCCAGCAATGGGGGGGAAAGTAACCAACGATGAAGTCTCTTGAGTGTGTTGCCTGTTTGTTAAGAGGGATGGGGTGGGGAAATTGGGCTCAATGGGTTTTGGGGATGAAACCTGCTTTTCCTTGCCAGTTTGGAGGAGGTGACATTTCTGTGGTCCTTATGCCCATCGAAGACCAGGCTGAGCTGGGGATTCACTGCTGGTTAACACCATATGTTCAGCTTAAACAAGACACTGTGATTGAAAGACTAATGTTTTGTCTCCTAAAACACCTGACAACAACCCCAGATTTATTGTTGATTTTTTTCCCCCTCTTATGAAAGTATTGGTAGCTGTGTCACTCTAGTAACAGATGCTGCTCTCATATGTTCCCCTTCTTGACATAAATGGATGCCTATAAAGATAAATAGAATAAAGAAAAAGAACTTGTTGCATACAGGAGGCAGGTGTCCAAGGGCTTTTTAAATTCACACAGTAATCGCCGGTGTGGACTGGTCTGGCATAACAGGACACAGACAGGAATTCTGCTGCCCCCAAATTATGCTAGGTATGCTTTTTCTCTCACTAACTCCTTCTCTGTCTTTAATAGAATTTTGGAAGTAACACTCATGATGTCGGCCTAGTGCCAGTGTCCAAATGCCTGTAACACAGGGACTCAAGAGTGGCAGTCTGGTCAGAAGAGGGCCCTGGGAGAGACCTGTATGGAAACATAGTTTAGATAAGTTTGGAAACTTTGTTTTAGAAGTTTGCAAAATAAGTTTCTGGATCATGGCAAGGAGTGGGGACCTGGGGAGTTTGTGGGAGACTCAGGCCCTTGGACCCTCTTCCCAGCCATCAGAGAGAAGAGGCAGAGTCCTAGAGGGTCCCAGTGACTTGCCAAAATCCCATCTGTTCCCTGCAGAGACCTGGGGAAAGAAACCAGGAGCCTTAATTTCCATCTCTTTGTCCCAGTGATCAGACGTGCTAAACTTGGGGGGGTTCCACTCAATCACATTACGAAAAATAGGGAGTGTGTGTCTGGTGGAGATGGAAGTTGGAGGGGTGGGTGTGACGGGGCAGGATGAGAGCCTGACTGCTCCTAATGTCACTGAATGAAGTGCTGGGCTGGGCTTAGTCACTCAGTCGTGTCTGACTCTTTGTGACCCCATGGANCCCCCCCCGCCCCCAGGGTCCTCTGTCCAGGGGGATTCTCCAGGCAAGAGTACTGGAGTGGGTTGCATGCCCTCCTCCAGGGGATCTTCCCAACCCAGGGATCCAACCTAGGTCTCCCGCATTGCAGGTGGATTCTTGACCAACTGAGCCACCAGGAAAACCAATGGAGAGGTTTTAAAAGTGTATGGGCTTCTTCCCAGGTGGAGATAGTGATAAAGAACCCACCTGCCAATGCAAGAGACACAAGAGATATGGGTTCAGTCCCCAGATCAGGAAGATCCCCTGTAGCAGGGCATGGTAACCCACTCCAATATTCTTGCCTGGAGAATCCCATGGATAGAGGAGCCTGGTGGGCCACAGTCCATAGGGTCACAAAGAGGCAGACATGGCTGTCGTGACTTCGCACGCATGCATCTGTTTAGGAGATTGTTTATCCTCTGATAATCTGGAGTGAATGTGTCTGAGGATATGATGTGTATGTGTTGGGCGGTGGGCGGGGGTGGAGAGTGAGAGAGAGAGAGAGAGAGAGAGAGAGAGAGTGTGTGTGTGTGAGTGAGTGAGTGAGTTAGAGAGAGAGAGAGAGAGGGAGAGAAAGTAAGGAGTCTTTGTCCAGAAATAAGGGACCTTCAGGTGCTCATCACAAGCCCATGTGCTTTCACTTACCTCTTCATCTCCATCCCTTCTTTGCTTCTCTGACCAGATTCCATTTTTAGCTCCCTGGTGGGAAAAGAATCAACATGCCATTGACGGTTCTTGATTTTGGAGCTACAAGAAGCACTTTTAATATTTGAGTTACTTTGTTTCAAATGCATACTTTTAAATATTCATTTGAAGATTTTTTTCAAGCAAATTGCTGCTGGTGGTTTTTGAGTTTCAAATTATTCTATAACTCTGCATAAATACTTGGGTTGCGTGAGATCATTGGCCTTATTTAGAATTTAGCAAAGTCTGGCCCATGAAAGAGGTGTGGGGACCGATTCTGACAACTGTGAGAACTCAGGAGCATTAGAGTTTATGGACTCTGTACCTGAATCCGTGTGCTTGATACTGTTCCAGGTATCATAAAGTTGGGAGCCACCTGGTTTGCTAATTGAAAGTGCAGTTAAAAGTCAAGCTTGAAAAAGAGCTTTTGCATTTTCAGGGTTGTGACTTTGGAGATTTGTCACTGATGACTAGGAAGTGTGAACACTGGGATAGATAGTGATTTTCACTGTTGAATACATTAATCCCTTTAATTATTTGTTAAGCACCTCTTATGTACTGGCACTGATTTGGACCCTAGGGAAACAGAATTGATCAATATGAACCAAAATCCCTGGCCTCATTTCAGCTGGAGAAGATAGAAAATCACAGGCATTTTTAGCAGAGTGACCAGGGAAAGCTCTAATAAGAAGGTGACTTTTGAGTCAATTATGAAGGCAGTGAGGATACTGGCCATAGTCATACCCAGCAGAAGGGCATTCTGGGCAAAAGGAACAGCCAGTTCAAAAGCTTGAAAATGGATGTGTGTCTGATATGTTTGCAGAATGGCAGGGACACCAGTGAGGGTATGTCAGAGAGAAAGAGGGCAAAGAAATGACACAGACTCCAGTGAAGTGACCAGCAAGGTGGGGGTGGAAGCTCAGATCAGGGGAGGCCTCAAGATTTTGGGATGCTGACTATACCCCATCCACGGGAGCTGTTGAGGGTTTGAGCAGTGGAGTGACACAGTGTGACTTAGTCTATAACAGAATACGCTATAGAGGACCAAGGGCAAAACCAGGAGGACAAGCTGGGAGGTCCCTGCAGTGAGGTAAGCAAGAGATGATGAAGGCTCGGGGGCCAGCATGGAAGCATTGGAGGCTGTGAGCAGTCGTGTAGTCCTGGGTCTGTAGATAGAGCCCAGCTGACCAGATTGTCTCATGGACTAGGTGATGATGGTAAGAGAGAGAGGACTTAAGGATACCTCCGACTCAACAACCGGAAGAATGGAATCAACCACTGGCTGCGATTGGGCAGGATACAGAAGCATCTGGTTGGGTTTGGAGGCAGTTTGGAGATGGGACATCTGTCTATCAGAAGGCACGCGTGAAGTAGACAGGTGGGTACACAAGTTGGAGTTCAGGGGAATGCCCAGGCTGGAGATAAAAAATCAGGGAGTCATCAGTAAGTAGATGGTATTTGAGACTGAGAATCTTAAAGGCGTTTCTACATAGGAAGTAAGTTTAGAGAGAAGGGGTCCATGGACTGAGCCCAGATGCCTCCCACAAGTGCAGGGGTCTAGGAGTAGAACAGCTGCTGCTGCCAAGTCGCTTCAGTCGTGTCCGACTCTGTGCGACCCCCTAGCCGGCAGCCCACCAGGTTCCTCCATCCCTGGGATTCTCCAAGCAAGAATACTGGAGTGGGTTGCCATTTCCTTCTCCAATGCATGCATGCATGCTAAGTCACTTCAGTCATGTCTGACTCTATGCAACCCCATGGACAGCAGCCCACCAGGCTCCTCCATCCACAGGACTCTCCAGGCAAGAACACTGGAGTGGGTTGCCATTTCCTGCAAATGGCAGGAACCCAAGCGAAAGAAAGAGATAAGTCAGAAGTGTAGGTCAGTGTCATTTCTTAGGTGCCAGGAGAATAACATGTCTATTGTTTCCCACAACTTTATGAGGTCAGTGTGATTTTTACCTCCATTGTACAGGTTTGAAAACTGACGCATATCATCAGTGATAAATCCTTTACCCAGAGTCACCTTGGCTGGAAGTGACAGGGATGCAGTTTGAAGCTCCATCACTATCACTTTGAATCCAGCATCTCTATACTCTTCAATACACATGATATATAGTTGTTGTTGTTCATTTGCTAAGTCTTGTCTGACCCTTTGCAACCCTGTGGACTGCAGCACATCAGGCTTCCCTGTCCTTCACTGTCTCCCAGAGTTTGCACAAACTCAGGGCCATTGAGTCGGTGATGCCATCCAACCAACTCATCCTTTATCCTGCCTCCCTACTCCTCCCACCCTCTATCTTTCCCAGCATCAGGGTCTTTTACAATGAGTTAGCTCTTCACATAGGGTGGCCCAAGTATTGGAGGTCAGAGGTGTTGTATGTTATTGAAGAAAGACACCAAGGACATAGAAATACCATACAAGTTTTCAACTTATTTAAATGACTAGTGATTTTGAAGAAGCAGAAATGTCTCA